TTTAACTCAATACATCTAAGGAGCAAGTTATTCAATATAAGCTATAAAAATGTAGTCTCCATCTTCCTCCAATTTGTTTGGCAGTATACCTCCAATAACTTTTTATTTCCTCCGTTAGAAACAGAAAATAACACTGTGCAACTGTTGTTTCTTAGTAATACCTTTAGTCACCCTAAACCACTTCAAAAATCATACATGAACCACTACCAAAAATACAGCTATGCAGTGCCACTTCCTTCTCTGAACACCAAGATGCTGGCAGCAAAAAAGTTATACTCAAGGACACAAGGTCAAACCCAGGCAGGCCTGGGAAAGTCATCTTGTTACAAACAAGACAGGAAACTGGAATTTGAGGCATTTTTTCACACAGTTCTGCGGGAGTTGAAGACTGAATCGAATCCTCATGAAGCAGGTAAACTGTGTAAGCTAACTGATATGTGACCAATCCTTTGGCTTGAGCGTAATTTGAATAGTTTATTAAATTGAAGTCTCCTGGATGTCACTGTGTAACAGATAGTTCACCATCAAATACTGTCAGTACATAAATGTCCTTAAGCGTTTTGTCAACTGACATGTGCCCCCCTCACACTCCAAATTCTTTTCTGTCCAACAGATGAAGTCATTAAACCGCACGTTTGTATTAAGACTTTTCTCAGACTCACCAGTTTTCTGAAAGCATGTTTTGGAAGCATGGATGTTTCTTGAAGCAACAAATGCTGCACCCAGGGTGTTTCTGGAAATCTAAAATAAGTAATTGTTTCAATAACAGTGAGATTTCCTCCATAGTTAAAAAAAAAACGTTAGGAGATAACACACAAATTTCTGATCATGATCTCATATATTTAATGTGTCCCAGTTTTGAGCTGACCTTCACAGCACTCTATTCACAAGCCGTAGTTATGGAACCAAGTCCAGCATTACTAAGCAAAGGCAGATAGTAAAGGAGAAAAGAGACTGCTCTAAATTACTGGCTGCATTTTTCTGCATTGCACTGATGTCACCATCACAGCACTGCAGCAGCTCCCAAAGCAACACCTCCTCTCGTTTGCCACTTTTGCTCTTGAACATTGAAAGCCTGGGGCATAAAGAATAGGTGCACCCTTCGTGGTTCTGCACAAGGGAGAAATAAGACTGTGTCTTATGAGGGCTGGCCTTACCTGAGAAAAACCTAACTGCAGAATTTCTGAAGCATGCCTAAAACTTAAGCGGCAGCAGAAACGAAAAAAAAAAAAAAAAAAAAGCAGTGTACTAACAAATGCATTAAAAGATTATAATCGTACATCCCACGCAGAGCTCCCAGTGTAGTCGCATGCAGCTTAATGCTATTTCTCTGAAAGCCTGAGCAGGCCTCTCCTCCGTTCACCTTCACAAGGGACACCGGCCGGGAACGGGTCCTGAAAGATCCTCGCACCCTCATTCTTCCCACAAACACGGGGAAAAAGATGCCACCTGGCAAAGCCTCGCACTTCAAATCCCTAACCCTGACTGGGATCCAGCAGATTTCAGGACATCAACCTGAACGCCATCAGTGCCAAACCGCATCCCCGGGGAAGGACACGCCGTCCCCTACATCCCGCCCCCACCATCCCCCAGGTGAGGGGACCCCCGGCCCCTCAGCAAACGGTCGGGCCCCGCCGTCACCCAGCGCTGAGGTGAGCCCCACATCCACATTCCGTCCCACACTCCC